GGGATAGATGTTTTGCATATGGGAAGGAGCCCAGGAGGCCGAGGGCGAGAGGAGAGGGAAGTAAGGATCCGAAATGCGTCCTGCATAGTACCGGCACTAAACCCCACAGCGGGCCTGAGCATGCGCTGTAAACGTGAGCTAAATAATAATCATCATAATAATAAATAATGAAAATGAGGGGGGCCGGGGATATAGCTCAGTGGCACAAGCACCTGCCTGGCAAGTGCAAGGTCCTGAGTTCGATTCCGGGTACCAAAACAAAAAAATGAGAGAAGTGGGGGAGTGGGTGGAGGGGGAAAAAAAATAAAAAGATTCAAGGTGTGTTAAGTACATGTACCTATTCCCTAAAATGAATGTAAACTATGTATTGCACACATGTACTAAAACAAGTAAAATTAAAAAAAATTTTAAATTTTGAGTCAGAGTCAGGGCGTGATGGCGCATGCCTGTCATCCTAGCACTCAGGAGGCTGAGGCGGGAGGATTGCTGCAAGTGCAAGTTCAAGGCCAGCCTAGACTCCATAGTGAAACCCTGTCCAAAAAAACAAACAAAAAAAAATATATTTTTTGTTTGTTTGAGTCAGAGTCTGGCTTAGTCGCCGAGTTGCGGAGGCTGGGTTTGAACTTCTGACCCTCCTGCCTCAGCCTCTCTGTACTGGGGTTGCATGGGGTTCCCCACCACTCCCAGCTACCATCAACCCTTAACAACTGAGCACCATCAATAATGACAACAGCCAGTAACGGGAACAGCACTGTCAACAAGGCTGCCATCAGCAACCACACACAGTCGGTTACCATAGCAACGCCAGGAAGCGGCACTCATGGACCATTCCCATCCAAACCCCAACAGAGAATTGCCACCCATGATGGCCGCCATCACCGGAAACCAGCGATGAGCTAGCAACAGCAAACGGAAACTATCGATGCCACCCGGCTCCAAGTACCTGCAGCTGCTTGTCGCCAGCCAGAGTTCTACCCCCCACCAGTCAGCCCCCTCCGAGCTTTCCAGCCGGAAACATTTGAGCACTAGTGACCAGCCTCAGACACCAGTCGACACCCAGGACAGCCACCATGAGAGCCGGGCCTGGTGGCGCACGCCTGTCATCCCAGCACTCGGGAGGCTGAGACAGGAGGAGTGCTACGAGTGCAAGGCCCGCCTGGGCTACATAGTGAATGCAAGGCCGGCCTGAATTGCAGAGTGAGACAGTCTCCAAAAAAAAAAAAGGACAACCACCACTGCCACCAAGCTACCCGTGAGGACCACGGCCAACACCCACCTGCGAAAGCCAACAGTGACCACCGGGACAGCCAACAGCAACAACTTGATGAGCCCCGCCCCACCTGACCCTTCCACGACAACCAAGAATGAGCTGTGTGTGCTCTCTGCGAGTTCAGGTCCGCGGGGACGGAGCTCTGTCAGCGTATTACTCAGATGCACAAATAGAGAATCACACGCTGGAAAGAGGCACTGCGTGCGGGACGTTCGCGGTCCACCTCCCTCTCATTCTTTTTCTTCTGTCTCTTGCTTTTCCTTCCTTCCCCTTTTGCCTTTCTTTCTTTCTTTTCTTTTCTTTTTCTTCCTTCCTTCCTTCCTTTTTATCTTTCTTGTCTTTTTGAGACAGGGTCTCGATGTGCAGTTCAGGCTGGTCTTGAACTCACTTTGTAGCCCAGGCTGGCCTTGAACTCAGCGATCCTCCTGCCTCAGCCTCCCAAATGCTGGGATTACAGGTGTGTGCCACCACACCCCTCTTTTTCTTCCTTCCTTCCTTCCTTCCTTCCTTCCTTCCTTCCTTTCTTTCTTTTTCTTTTCTTCCTCTTTCTTTCCCTTCTCTTTCCTTCCCTCCTTCCTTCCCCCTTTCTTCCTTCTTTGCTTTTCCTCTCCCTCCCCTCGCTCTGTATCCATTCTCTCTCTCTCTCTCTTCCTCTCTCTCTCTCTCTCTCACTGATGCCAAGCACACTTTTGACGGCGCCTTTGGCGCGGTCTCTGGGGCTCTTCCTCTGGAGGAGGAACTCGAGTCTGTGCCCTTTGATCTGCGCCTGCCTGTCGGAGCTCCTGCGCCTCCCTGCATGGCGCTGGGCTGTCAGGTTCCCGTCCGGAGCCCCAAGCCCAGAGCTCCCCGATGGTTTAGGGGTCCGCGGCTCACTCCAAGAGCACCTTGGCCGGCTCTCGGAAAGATCTTCTCTTTCACATCAGCGAGCTGCTTCACCTCCCCGCCTCCGCCCTGCTCGGCTATCTGCTGAAACCGCTAAGAACCTGCAGCCGTCCCTGTCCCAGCCACACGCCGGCGCCCGCCTGACAGATGACACACACTGAAAGCCGAAGTGCCCTGCAGGCGCGCGGGCTGTGCGGCCAGGCTCTCTTGCTTGCCTGTCCGTGACGCTGCAGCGGCGCCCTCCCTGTCACCGGCCGCGAGCCCCACACGCAGCACTGCCCGGGCGCCGGGCCCAGGGCACGACCAGAGGCAGGGCCGGGCGCGCAGCCACCCCACCCGCTGCCTCCTGACCGCTGCCGCCAAGCCAGCCACCTCACCCCGCCGCTGTCCTGCCCCTCCGCCTGGCCGCAGCCCCCTCCCACCGTGGGCTCAGGACCTCCCTCCGCGTCCCGCCCAGAACCCCAACAGCTTGCAGACAGGCTCGCTGCCAGGTAGGACATCTCTGCAAGTCGAGGCCGCAGAGGGGAGGCGGCTCGCTCAAGGCCACACGGGGAGGTGAAGGTCTCAGCTGAGCGGGCAGCTGGCATCCCCGAGCCCCAGGAAAGGGCTGAGGTCCCTTCCAGGCCACCTTCCGTCTGCCCCTGCCTGCTCCATGCCTGGTCTCCACGGTCACCCCGGGGCCCTCGGGTGCAAGCTTGGACCCTGGCTGGGGACCCAGGGGGCTGCCCAGCTGCACCGAGGGCCCCCAGACGGCCCCCACTGTGCTCCCATCAGCCCTCCCCAGGGCGGCCCTCTCCGCACTCCTGGAGCCCCCGGGGGGCCTCACCATGGCGGGGGCTGGCGGCCGGCCGGGCACCAGGTCACTCCTCACAGGGCTCCTGGGGGCGGCGCGGGCATGACCCTGCTGCAGCTCCGCGGCTCGGGCCCTAGTTCCTTCTTCAGCAGCCCCTCTCTCACTTCCTTTGACGGGAGTGGCCGCGGCCGCGGGGGAGGGAAGCTGGGCCCCGGGGGAGGGCGGGGAGACAGCCGAGTCCCAGCAACGGAGGTGCAGAGCTGGGGGGCTGCTGGGCCCCTGAGCCTGAAAGGGGAGGCCAAGAGCGCTGGCCGGCCCCAGGACACCCCTTCTCCGCCCGTCCCCTTGGGGGACAAGAGCCCCACCACTGGGGCTGCAGGACCCACTGCCCTGGCCGCCAGAAGCCCTTGGGACGCTGAGGCTCCTCCGTTCCACAGCAAGGAAGGGAGCGAGGAAGGGAGCGCTGCGGACGTCAGCCCTGGATCAGCACCCCCGGTTCTGCCACCTCCCCGTGACTTGGTTTCCCGTCTTCTGATTGCAGAGCGGCGACTCTAACCCTCAGCACGGATGCGCTAGGTGTCAGCCCAGTTTTGCGGGCGGGGGGCGCTGGGGAGTTTGAGACAGGGTCTCCGCTGTGTAGTTCAGGCTGGCTTTGAACTCCTGGCGATTGCCCTGCCTCAGCCTTCCCAGAGTGCTGGGATGGTAGGCGTGTGCTCCCATGCCCGGCTGGCCCACGTTTTGGTCTTTGGCGGATTAGCAGGCCACACAGTGTCTCCTGGTGACGTTTGAGGGAATGGCTTCGCGGAGGTTGTCACCTCGTCAGGGCATCCGTGGAGGAGGTGTTTGTGGCAGCACCGTCCTGGGAGGGCCTGCCAGGGCTCTGCGTTCCCGCCCATCACTGGTCCTGGCCTGGGGACCGGGATGTCCTGCGCAGGCGCACCCTCCTGGAGATTTTGAAGACGTAGCGCCTCCTTGTGGTCACTGCTGGGGAGGAGCCTGTCTCGAATTTCTTAAGCAAGTTTGCTGAATTGTGTAAGTCTGGGAGGGGTGTGTTGGGAGGAACGCAAATTAGTAAAATCACTATGGAAATCAACGCGGGGATTCCCCCAAAAAGCTGGAACTAGAAATTCCACTCAGCACAGCTGTTCCTCTTTCAGGTGCATCTCCCGAAAGAGTTAAACACATCGTATTATGGTGATCATGCACACTCACGTTTACAGCGGCACAACTCACATCTGCTAAATCCTGGGAGCAGCCTCTACGTCCACCGACAGAGGGACGGACGAAGAAAATGTATGTACACTCCATCGACAGAGGGACGGACGAAGAAAATGTATGTACACACCACGGAGCACTACGCTGCCGTGAAGAATACACGTGAGTCATTTGTCGGAAAATGGATGCATCCTGAGACCACAACGTTGGGTGAGATACACCAGACACACAGGCTTGAGTATCGCATGGTTCCTTTTATACGAGAACCCCGAAGTATAAATAACTCAGGGAGAGAGCAAAAGACAGATGAGGGGGCTGGGGATTTAGCTCAGTGGCACAGCGCCTGCCTAGCAAGTGCGAGGTTGTGAGTTTGATTCCCGGTACCGGAAACCTCCCCCCTCCAAAAAAACAAAAAAAAAAACAAAAAAAAAACACAAAAGACAGATGGTCGGAAATGGGAGGCAGACAGACCTTTCATAGATGGGAAGGGCCTCAAGAGGTGGAGGGAGCAGGAGGAAAGGACGGGAAGGGGAAGATCTAAGGTGTGTTGTAGGCACATTGCCGACTCCCTGTCCGTGCAATCATTATGCGCTACACAATCACTAATAAACCGTAAAAACTAGAAAACTCCTCAGAAATGTGAACCAACAGGCAGGGGAGCCCCACCTTGCTGGGAGGGGGCATCGGAGTTTTGGAGACCTCTGCGAGCAGCTCTCCTCTTGTCCTAAAACGCCTGAGTTCCCATCTGCGCCGGCACAAGTCCCCTGAAGGCCCCGGCGGATGAGCCGCGAGGGACCGGGCGCGGCACGAGGACACACACACCAGCGGAACGCGCGAAGCTACACGAGACAGGGCTTTATTGATGTAGGGCTTCCTCGCGAGGGGTGTGTGGGCCCCAGGGCAGGGCGTGTAGCACCATGATCAGGGTGGCCTGGATGTTGGGGTCCCCCTGGGGCAGGCTGGGCAGAGGTCGGGGTGTCAGGAGGTGGTGCTCAGCCCCCTCCCCCATCGCAGACGCGGCCCCTCCCCCCGCTAGGAGTGGGCGGCAGGCCCCTCCCCACCCCACTCTTCACAGTAGATTCCAATCAAACGGTGGGGGGCTGCTGGAGACTCCCTAAGGGTGGGCGCGAGGGGCCCCGGGCCAATAGCCGTCGTCCCCAGACCCATCCTGGAGGGGGTCTATGTACTGGGTGCGAAGCTAAAGAGGGCCCCCGGGTGCGCCAGCCCCTCTCCACCCCCAGCCAGGGGCCCTGCAGGGGTCCCCAATAAATAACTGGCATTTGCATCTCAGCTCCCGCCCAGGCCCTTTGGGCGGGGTCCGCTTTAGCCTGCGCGCAGCAACGGCTCCGGGTACCGCGTGCCCCCTAGCGGCCCTGGCAGGTCTTGCAGCACATCTGGCGGAAGTAGGACCGGCTGCAGAACTGAAATTTGAGCACCAGGGGGCAGTAGGCAACCTTGTTCACATCCTTGCATTCTGCGGGGAGGAGCGGGGAGGGAAAAAGAGGGGAAATCGGGTCTCAGCAGCCCTCCCAGCCAGGGTGCCTACCTGAAAGGGTCTTATGGTAGTAACTATGTTGTTAGGCTCTTGGAGAAGAGTGCAGGCTCTGGGCCGCACTCCCACACATTCTTAACAAGAAAAGCACTTGCTATTCAGCGGTCCTCTGATAGCACCCAGGACAGCCTATTCCTCTGGGGCGACAAAGCTCCCAAGTTTCTCTTTTTAATAAACCGAGTACCATCCTGGCGTAGTGGTGCACACCTGTAAATACCAGTACTCTGGGAGGCTGAGGCAGGAGGCTGGCAAGTTCTAGGCCAGCCTGGGCAACGCCTTAGACTCGATCTCAAAATAACATTTAAAAGGGCTGGGGGTGTGGCTCAGTGTGAAGGCCCCGGGTTCAATCCCAGCCGCGTAACTAGCTAATAAAAAGAAATACTGCTGGGCCTGGGGATTTAGCTCAGCGGCACAGCCCCTGCCTGGCAAGGGCGAGGTCGTGAGTTCGATTCCCGGTACCGGAAAAAACAAACAAACAAACAAAAACAAAACAAGAGCTGGGGATTTAGCTCAGCGGCACAGAGCCTGCCTGGCAAGCGCGAGGTCGTGAGTTCAATTCCTGGTACCGAAAACAAAACAAAACAAACAAAAGAAACTCTGCTGGCGGGGGGAGGGGGAGATTTGTCCCCTCCCCCACATCGGGCCACTGACCGGAAGAAGGGGCACTTACGGGACAGAGGCTGGGGCTGCGACTGGCATTTCCCAAAGCACCTGACAGAATCACGGGCCCGGCGCGTCAGCAGCCCCGGCCCGGCCTCCTACCTTCGGGGCCGTCCCCGGGCGGCGTGCTGTCACACTTGGCCTCGCACTGCTGCGTGGCGGGCGGCCGCAGGGCCTCGGTGCACTCGCGCGACGGCTGCCCCGTGTGGCTGGTGCAGTGCACGGCGCGCTGCTGCTGGCCCAGGCCACACTGCACGGAGCACTGTGGGGAGCTGAGCTCAGCCGCGGCTCCGTCACTTGTCCCCGCCCGGGTCCCCGTGGGCGCGCCCACCTACCTCGCCCCACTCGCTGGCCACCCAGCGCGCCGGAGGGCAGCGGCGCAGGTTGCAGCGCATGGTGGCCGGAGGCTTGGCCGCGGGCGGGCAGTGTGCAGCGGGCAGGGTGGCCCGGTGGTCTGCGCTCTTGCAAAGGACCACGCGGTGGCGGAGGCCTGGCCCGCAGCTGGGGGTGCACTGCAAGTGAGGGGCGGCTCACGCTCAGTGGGGGGCGTGGGTGCAGGCCCAGTGGGCGGGGAGGTGCGCTGTGGGCCCTTAGGGCTGGCGGGCCGTCCTGTGCCCGCGCCCCCCCGCTCAGTGGGTTGGGGCAGCGATGAAGGGGCGCTGACCTCAGACCAGTCCAGGGCCGCCCACTCGGGAGGGCAGGCCGGGCCGTGGCAGGCCTCCAGCACCGGCGGGCGCGGCTGCGGGCAGGCACTGTCGTCCAGCGCCTTCTCCTCGGCCTCCGATACGCGGCGCTGGCACACGACCGAGCGGCTGCGCACGCCCGCGTCACAGCTGCGGCTGCAGCGGGACCAGTTGCCGACTACCCAGCTGTGGGCATGGAGGGAGCGGAGGTGTGAGCCACCAGCAGGCCAGGGGACTCGAACCCGGCGCCTGCGGTACCAGTCTCCTCCACCCTCCCAAACCAGCGTCTTTCGGAAAGCTGCGCCAGGCAGGCTGCTCTGCCTGCAGGGGTCCCTTGGCGTCTGGAGCCTCATTACCCCGAGCCCCAGCTGGAGAACCCACGACGGAGAATCCTCCAGCTTTGACCTCACCTGGGGGACCACATGACGCTGACCATACAGCCCTGGGACCGCTCTCACCCCAGCCTGCACTGACCCGGCTTCCACACCCTCCTGGCCAGTGCTCAGGACCGGGGGGCGGGCGCCACCCTCCCCTGCAGCCCACGTCCCGCCGGGCACTCACTCGGGCGGGCAAGGGTCCGTGTTGCAGGCGCGCTGCCTCTTGGGCAGTTTGCTGTGGGCGCTGCAGTAATGGGGGGCCACGGCGGAGCTGTCCAGCTGGTTGCGGCACTCCACCACCTGCACCTGGCTGCCTGGGGAGGGGAGAGGGCCGCTCAGCGCCGGCCGGGCCCAGGGGGCCTCGGCCAGGGCGCTCCGTGCCCCAGCTCCCCGGCCTCACCGCCGGCACACTGAGCCGAGCACTTGGTCCAGGGCGTGTAGTGCCAGGAGTAGGGCGGCAGCGTGTCCCGGGCGATGGGCGCGTTGAAGCGGTAGCGCAGGGCAGGCAGCTCTGTCCGGGCCAGCACCTGGGGGCGTGGGGGGCAGCCAGCGGTGGGGTCTCACGGAGCCTCCACCCTCGAAGGGGGCTAAGGCTCTCCTGCGTCTTGCCCCCGGTCCTGCCGTTACCATGACAATGAGAGATGCATTGATGGGTCCCAGGGCTTCCAGGCTCTGCGTCCGGTTTGGCCCCTGTCGCAGGTGAAAGGTGGTCCCGGCCAGCGGCAGGCGGTGAGGTTGGGGGGTCCCGGGCAGTCCCTCCAGCAGCAGGGACTCCTGGTCCCCCTTCAGGGCTGGGGGACAACACAGAGGTCAGATGCTGACACGTCCCCCACGTCCCCTAGGTCCTCACCACCTACCTCTGCTTACCCAGGTGACTGAGGGACAGGTTCAGGTCCTGGATGAAAATGTGCACAGAGCCTTTGGGGATCCACACGACATCCTCGTATCCTGGACAGCAGAGCGCAGACGTCAGCCGCTCGGCTGCCCCTGCCCGCCTCCCCTGCACCTTCTGTCCTTGGTGACCTCAGCCGACCACTGCTGGGCTCTGTGTGCTTGCAGGGCCGTCCCACTGTGACCCTGTCTGGACCTGGTGAGGACGTGTGTCACCACACCCATTTTACAGATGACAAAACTGAGGCTCAAAGGAGCCTGCACTGTGCCTGGGTTTTACAGCCAGGAAGTTGCTGGGCTGAGGTGGCTTGTTTTTGTTTTTGCTTTTGCAGCGCTGGAGATGGAACCCAGGGCCTCGGATGTGCTAAGCTCACCTGCCTCCGTGACCTCCCCCGTAACCTCTCCGTACGTCACCTCTGACGAGTCGGGCTGGGCAGGGGCCGAAAAGTGGCATTATAGTGTCTAGTGGGATCCGGGAGCCCTCTACCTTTGCCTGCCTGTGTCCCCCAAGAGACCTGGCTCTCACGGCTGGACCCCCCAGTGCCCCACAAGCTGGGTTCTGTAAGCAACACCCTCCCGTTTCCGGGTTTCTGCATCCTGTCATGCTGAACCTCCTACTCCCCCAAAATGTCAGCTGGCTCTACAGAACCTCAGGGGCTGGTGTCAGAGGTCCCCAAGCCTAAGAACCCCACTTCCTGTTCTCAATGCACTAGTGTCTCTTCCCATGTCTCCATTTTGGGGACAGCCTACCGCCCACCCAGCGGTCCCCAGGAGGTCCCTGGGGACCCTCCTCACCCCGCCCTAATCTCGCTCTTGACACCAGCTGGCAGGCTGCCCCTTAAGGACCCCAACGGGATGTCTGGGGGGTGAAACCCACATTCTGCAGCCTGTCCGTAAACAGTCCCTGCTGAGGGTCCCATACCCCAGTGCTTCCAGCTCCTGACGCTTCTGGCCCCCTCCCCCTCCTGCTCTGGGGCATTCTTGTGCCCTCAGGACTTTTGGGGTCCCTGACACTCAAACCTCCACTCTAGCTCAGATGCCACAGGGCCCCTGCAGTCTGTTATTAATCTTGGCTACTGTCAGGGGGCCCAGCCCCGGCCCCAGGCTCTGAGCGTAGTGGGGAGTGGGGGGGGAAGTGGGGGGCGCTCACCGGCCCCCACCAGGGCGGGGCTGAAGACCCCCTCGATGGTCTCGCAGGCGCTGCCGTCCCCGCCGCACACCCTGCACTTGTCCTCCCGCAGGTCGGAGCCCAGGACGCGGTCACAGCCCACGTGCTGCACGGAGGGTGGCGGAGCCTGAGCCACCCTCGCCTCCTGTGCACCCCGCTGCCTTCCTCCTCCCCAGGGCCCCGTACCTTGCACTCGCCGCTGACACAAATGTCCACCGTGTCTGGGCGGCAGGGCGTCCCGTCCACCACGGCTGCCGCCCTCTCGGTGTAGAAGTTGAAGCCCTCAGCTAAGCAGGTGAGCGAGCAGGCCTTCACGCCCCCTGGGGGCACAGCCCCATCAGAGCCAGGCACCCCGGGCTCCCTCTGCCCTCCCTGGGGAGGTGAGGCTGGAGGGACAGACCCAGCAGCACCAGCAGGCTGAGCACAAGGGTGGGGTCCCCACGTCCGGGCAAGGCCCCACTGGGCCGTACCCCAGCAACCCGATTCCTCCGGCAAGGGGACCCCAGGATGCTGCACATAGCCACCTGCTTTGGGGCGCCCCTTGGCTCCCCACTCACCCCCTCGGTACGCCTTCCACGAGTAGAACTTTCCACGGAAAGGGACGCTGTCAAATTCAGAGCACTGCACCTCTCGGAAGTCCTGGGAGCCCGGGGGACAGTCCTGGGGGAGGGGAGGACGTCAGGGAGAGGTACGGGGCGTACAGGCTGCGACGTCCAGGTGAGACTGCACGGCGGCTTGCGCTGGGCATCCCAGTGCGTCTTAGAAGGGGACCAGGTGACTCATTAGAGGTGCGAGGGAGTAGGGACAGCGCCTGGACTCTCACTGCGGCCCAGGAGCTTTCTGGAGAAGGTGGAGGATGCATCAGGGGTTGGGCTTGTCCTGAGTGCCAGGGGCGGGTCTGTGCCGAGGATGTGAGTGGCCGCAGGTGGGCAGCGGGGAAGGCCCCTGACACCTGCAGGCTCTGCAGCGCCCTTCCTCCGGGAGCTCCCGGCTCCGCTCGCAGGGTGTGTGTTTAACATTCGTGCAAGCCCAGAACCGACATAGGGCACACAGATACGCACGCAAGAAGCAAAACAGCCACAGCCGTCGCCGTAGGGGTGTAGCCACGGGTGGCCACAGCAGCATGGCCCTGGGTGTGGCGCCAGGGAGCGCAGCCAAGCCTCGGGGGATGCCACAGGGCAGACGCTGGGCTAGAAAGGGATGGGACCCCCTGGGTGGTACTTCGAGGGCGGTGTGAGAGCCGAGAAATTATTTTGGGGGCGGGAGGAGAAAGTCTGCAGCCTGGGAGAAGAGGCAGAGTAGGAGGGGCCAGAGATGCCCGGGAGGGGAAGGGGCAGTGGGGGGTCAGCGGACGCCGCGGCGGGTCCCCAACACCACAGGTGTCAGGAGAGATCGGCACAGGGGCCGCGGTCCCGCGGGAGCTGACAGGAGAGCCACGCCCGGGAACTCACTTGCGTGTTACAGGACCGGTGTCGCCGTCTCTCCCCCAGACAGTACTTGCCCCCGATGGTCGGCCTGGAAGAGGCGGGGGAGACAGGAACCAGATGGGGGGCCGATCGGGCCCGGGCCGGCTCTCGCGGGCGGGGTCTGAGGACCCACCTGGGGCTGTCGCAGTGGCGGCTGGACGAGGACACGCCGCCGCCGCACGTCCGGCTGCAGTCGCCCCACGGGGTCCAGGGGCCCCAGCCCCCGTCCACGCCTTCTGGCCTCGAGCCGAAGGGGACGCAAACCCGCTTGTAGCACCACTGCGGGGAGAGGAGGAGAGGCGAGTCGGCTCTGCCGGGAGCTGGCGGGTCAGGACCCCGTCCCCTCCCTCCAGGGGGTGCGCAGGGGTGCAGACGGCGGCACGCGGCCGGAGGCGTGGCCTAAGCGTAGGGGGCGGAGCCAACGCCGCACGTCAAGGAGGGCGCGGGAGCCGCAGGTAGAGGGCGGGGCCGCTCACCCCCTTGTCGATGGTGTGCGTCTGGCACAGCGTGCCCTCGGCCGCCGGGATGCTGTTGGTGATGCACCGGTTGCTCTTGCTCAGGCACCAGAGCTCGCTGCAGACCTCCTGTGGGCCCACGCGCCGCTCAGGCTCGGCCTGCCTCCCCCGGGCAGCCCGCCTGGCTTGGGAGGACCAGGCGTCCTGCTCACTGAGAGCCGGGAGCCGGCACCTGCGCCTTGCTAGGTGCCAGCGAGTCCCTTGGGAGACGGGGCCTGGGACGGTTTTTGTGCCAGCGATGGGTGAAGAACACCTACGGGTGCCTTGAACCCCTCGAGCCTTATCTTCTCCGCTCTTTTACAAGAGCACTAAGGCTCGGACAGGTGCGTTCCCTGGCTGGAGGTCACACTGCTCCTAAGGGGCTGCTGGCACCTAACCAGGATGGTGTGTGTGTCAGAGAGAGAGAGATTGGGGATTCAACCCAGAGCCTTCACACGGAGCATCCTTTGCCCTTTTTGTTGAGCCGGGGTCTGTCCCCAAGCTGCCCACATGCGGAGCTACTGACCCTACGGTTCAGGCCCCGATGCCTTGCATGTTTCCAGAAGGAAATGAGACCTGCTCGGGAAGGGACAGGAAGGATTCTCGCTTCCTCTTTGGGTCCAGTAAAAACATCCCGGGAGAAAACAGTGTTTCTGAGCAATCACGGCTGGGAGGTGACTCAGGCTGAATCTCGCCTGCACTTTTTGTTTCAAATTGCTGGTTCTGTCTCCCCAGCTACACCGGAGAAGCCTCCGTTGCTTTGAAGCAGCACCAGGCTGGGTCTCTGGGCCATTCCTGCTCCTCCTCTAGTAGAAAAATCAGCAAAACCTTCCGGCCTGAACCCTGCCTGAGCTGTCCCAGGCTTTAGGGCAGAGCCAGTCCTCGGCAGGGAGCTGGACCAGCTCCAGAAAGTCATTCTGACCCTTTGGTCCAGGCTACTATTCCTGTGAAAGACACACTAAGTTCACGCTAAGTCTTGTGTCCTCAGCCTAATCTGCCCCAGCTTCTCCTTCTGAGAGGTACAGGTCCTTCCGGGACCCTCTGGGAGCAGAACCCTTCCAGGCTTTGAAGACTGGGATCGGACTGACCAATGGCTGGAGGAAGCGGGCGTCTGGGGTCGGCCAGACACACCTGCACAAACTTGAGGCTTCTGGGAGTTGTGCTCAGATGTGAGTCTCCAACCTTCCCCACAGCCCCTGCCTTCTGCTCCTGAATGGAGTACACTACTGGTTAAATATTCAACTGATTTTCTGGTTTCCCTCGGCCACTTCTAAAACCATCATGGCGGCCCAGACCCAACCCCACTTCTAACACCCTTAACTAGAACTGAGTATGCTCCAGGCTGCTATGGGAGACTGCAGCTTTACCACCGACTGGGGCTCAGTTTCCTCATCTGCAAGATGGGCAGCCTAGTACCTGCCTTGTGACAGAGTAGATGCTAAAGAGCTTGCATAACTTGGGTGACCATGAATACAGCTGCCCCTGGATCAGGCCCCAGGCCGAGCTCTGCACATATACGAACATACTTCCACATAGTCAGTATTGCTGTTCGCCAACACGGCCAGGGAGTTGTTTTCTCAAAAATAAAAAGGCAGGTTCCAGTCAACACACAGCGAGTCCGCCCATGCCTGACTGCGGACAGTTCTCCCGCCACCCTGTGTAAAACTTCGCGGTCAGAGGCCGGGGTTCAGCTCTCAGTTCTGCATGCTTGCAAATGTGGCCCCAGCCGTTTGCCTGTGGCTCGGGGATTACAGGGTTGTCAGGGTTTCAATGAGGTGATGCTGATCACGTGCTTAGCACATAGTATGTGCTCAGTATGTATCAGGCATGGTCAGTTAGGGTACCAGGACGCAGAGGGGGTTCAAGGGTAGTCTCAGAATTCCTTAGAATTCATTTGAGTGCACTGTGCTTATCTGCCAAGTCAGGGGGCAGAGGGGGCAGAGTGTCAATCTCACACACACACACACACACACACACACACACACACACACACACACATGCGCAGGCCAGGACTGGACTCCTTGTCTTGCAGTGGGACGAAGCGGGGGACTCTGCCAGGTCGGCCTTAGCTGGAACGTGGCTATGCAACCTGATGGTTTGTCCTGGGGCTTTGGAGGGTCGGAGCTGGGTTGGGGCTGCAGGACCGAGGCTGAGGGGAGCCAGGGAGTGTGGGTAAGGAATGGGGGGCGGGCAACAGAGGAGAGGGCAACCCTGACTGCGCTCTGGGAAGGCAGCAGTCCCCAGCTTCCTGTGGGGGGGAGCTGGGGGTGGGGCACCCCTTCTGGCCAGCCCACGTGATGCACAGAGGGGGCTTTCAGGGGTCTGAACCTCAGGACAGAGTGAGGAGCGGAGAGGAGTCCAGAGCCTGCCCAGCCGAGGACTGACCAGGGCCAGGAGACCGCAGAACCCCGCTGGTGGGGGTGGGGGGAAAATGGGGCGTCCCTGGAAGGTGCTGTCTGTTGCTTTGCCAGGTGATGTAGATCACCCACCCCAGGGAAACTTTCCACCCAGTCTGGGTGTTTAGTTAAGAACCACCCCAACCGGGCATGGTGGCGCACGCCTGTAATCCCAGCACTCAGGAGGCTGAGGCAGGAGGATCGTTGTGAGTTTAAGGCCAACCTGGGCTACAAAGTGAGTTCAAGGCCAGCCTGAACTGCACAGCAAGACCCTGTCTCAAAAATACCAAAAAAAAAAAAAAAGAACCACCCCAGTCTTGAGACACTCAGTCTTGCTGCGGCCTGCAGGTGGCCTCATGTGCTGAAAGCAAGGTGCCCCCCAAGCTCAGGGCTCCGAGCGGGGGTCTGGAGGAACGGGGCATCTCCTTCTCGTCCCCAGTCTCCCTTGGCTTGCTTGGGACATCTGCACACTCTACACACCACTGCCCTCCAGCTCTCCATGGGGACACCCCCGCAACTTCCCTGGTGCCCCCCACGGAGCCCCCCACCCCGTGGCCCCGTACCCTCCCAGGAAGGAAAGCAGGAAGGCTCTCTCTACCCCGTATTTACACTGACGCGATTTGACTCCATGCTGGAAGCGGCACTGCTCATCCGCGTCGTAGGCCTGGCCAGGCGCCACTGTGGGGTACACGAAGTCCTGTCTCGGAGGCCGGTTGTTCAGGCAGAGCCCCAGCCCCGAGCTGCAGAGAGAGGGAGAGGGGAAAAAAAAATCCACTGTCAGGCCAGGAGCTGGGGGACACCCGGCTATGCGGCGCAGCGTCCCCGTGCCTGCGACCCCTCCTCACTCCAGAAAGCTGGTGATGTAGTCCCGGCTGCAGGACGACCACACGAACGGGTTGGTCTTCATGGTGATGTGGGCGGCCATGAGCTTCGCGGGGTCCTGGCCGCGGGCTCCGCAGCTGTTCCCCACGCCGTCGTGGTTCATGCCGAACCTGGGGGCGGGGTGTCGGCTCTGCTGGGCACCGAGGGACCCGCAGGCTCCTCCCGTCACCCCCCGCCCGCGACCCAGCCTCACGTGTGCCCGATCTCGTGGGCGATGGTGAACGCCGTGGCCAGGCCGATGTCCTCGTTGATGCTGCAGCTCCTCTCCCGCTCGCACATGCCGCCCACGGGGGCCAGGCCTGGGAAGCGGGCGCGCACGGGGCGGGCTGGGACGCGGGTCCCTCCTGGCCTCCAGGGCCACACCCCGGGGGCAGGGCCACCCCGGGACCAGAGGGGCCGGGAGCAGGGAACTCGGTACCTAGGGTGCCGCAGGGCTTGTTCTTATAGATGCAGATGTCATAGCTGCGAAGGGAGAGGAAACACTGAGGTACGGGCCGCCCCCCTGGCCCTCCGATGCCACGGTGCCCGGCTCTGGGGTCGGGTCCTCCCGGGGTGGCGCTCCTCCTCCCACCCGAAGCCTCACGCTGTGTCCCGGGGGGAGCCCATCCCTGGCCTTGGGGACGCAAGGCGCCGTGTGAGTGACTGACCGCGCGCAAAGAAGCACAGCAGCCCCGAGAGGCCGACGCCCCTGCCCCCCATCCTCGGGTGTCCGCCGTCTCTCTCCACTGCTGGCTCCCTCGGGGACGGCACAAGCTCCCCAGCCTTTCCCGACCCCCAGCAGACAGGCGGGACCGCCTCCTCGGGCCCCCTCTGCGGGTCCCGGGCCCCTCACCGCGTGATGAGCACCGCCGTGTCGTGGTTGGCCACTCCGTTCTCCGGAATGGCGTTCCCGTGCCCACTGTGGCTCACGATGGATTTCTGCCACTTGCAGAAGCTGTCGAGGGACTTGCCAGCATGGTGAGTGACCTCCAGGGTGGGCTGGGGACACAGTGAGTGAGGCGCGCGGCGTCCGCCACCCCGCGCCAGCAGGAAGGGCTGCCCCCGCCCGCCCCGCACCTGGTCCTCCGTGAGCAGGATGAGTCGGGTCACGAGGATGTTGACGATGCTTCCCAGACTGGAGTCCTGGAAAAGTTTGGCAACCTGACCTCCAAGAAACAAGAGAGACCGAGTCTTAAGAGAAGCCCCAGTGGGAAACAAGGAGCGGAAGCAACACAGCGCTTGCTGTAATTAAGCACCTACCGTATTCTGTGTCGTAGACGTACAGCATTTCCCAAGTAGGCACTATTTAACTATTTTTTTTTAATGTACTGGGGACTGAACCCAGGGCCTCTGCACTGAGCTACATCCCAAGTCTTTTTGTATTCTGACGCAGGGTCTAAGTCACTGAATTGCTCAGCCTGGATTAGAATTTGTGATCGTCCTGCCTCAGCCTCCCAGAGTGCTGGGATTACAGGTGTGCACCACCACGCCCAGTTTCCTATTTTAACTTTACAGATGAAAAAACTGATCTGTGGAGACATGGCTGGTGGGGCCACAGGTCGGATTCCAAGCTGGGCTGCCGACCAGTGTGTTCCTTCCTCCTTCTTCCAGCCCTGGCTCAGGCTCTGCTGTCTCCAGCGGTCCCACTGCCTTCAGGGCCCTGTACCCCTGCGGCCCTGCTCCACCGCGAGCTCAGGGTACCAGTGTAAACATCCACGCCTGAACTGGAACTGTGGGGCGGGAGAGTGGAGACGGTGCCCAGGGGAGGCAGGCAGTGGCGCAGGGGATCAACGGGCGTGGGTGACGGAGACCAGGCTGTGCAGGTCTGTGTGTGTCACTGTCCCGTATGGAAACTCCCCGAGTGCTGGCAGGTTTTAGGAAACTGACAGCCAGGGAACCAGGCAGGGCTGGGCAGAGCAGTGGTGTGACGGACGATGTCAGGTCATACGTGGGTCACTGATCTCTCTGCCAAAGGTTCTGTCTTCTCTTTTCCTTCAGCGAGAAACCTCCACCATTCACCGATTTCCCGGGTGCCATGCTCTGCCTGGCTGTCCTCCCACCAACCCTTACCCTCTGCTCACTGGTGTATTTTTTTCTCCAGGATGGGGATTAAACCCAGGACCTTCCCATGGTGGTACATCCCCAGCCAGTTTTACTTTATTTTTAGACAGCATCTAAGTTGCTAAATTGCCCAGGCTAGGCTTGAACTTTAGAGCCTCCTGCCTCAGCCTTGTCGACTGCTGCAGGGACAGCTGTGAACCACCATCCCTGGCGCACGTTTGCTTTGTTCAGAAAGCAAACACACATATGGTTCTATCACTGAGTGCACTGCCAATGAAGTCAGTATCACTGTTCTCCCCATTGCACAGGTGGGCAAACCAAGGCAGAAGGCTGATGCTCTGTGCAAGGACTCACTGAAAAAGAGGCGCAGAGCTGGGACTGAAGTTCTGCCTCTGCTCACTCTGGGATATGTGTAGCCCTTTTTTTGCTCTGGCCTTTTTCTATTTGATTTCCCTGACCCCTGGCCAGGGATAAGGGGTGGGATGCTGACACCCTTTCCCCGACTTCTTCGGGTCCTCAGGGCTCCGTGTGCAGGAAGGAGGAGGCACTTACAATGTTCATGATGGCCAGCACGTACTGCTCCACGTCCCGGCGCCCGTGGTAGGCCACCATCATCTTGTCTGCCACCACCAGGGTCTCCACGTAGCGCTCCCGGCTGACAGAGCGCTTCAGGCCCAGCTGCCCGCGCTCCGTCTCATTCCCCAGCGGCCGGGCGGGCGGCGGCTTCAGGGTGCGCAGCCACCACGGCCGGCCTTTCCACGGCTTCTCGTCTGAGGGACCCAGGAGAGCAGTCAAGACCCCCCCCAACAGCCTGCTGCACCCCTGACTCCCTGGCTGTCCCTGTGCCCGGCAGGTTGGCCAATTTCTGCTCATTTTTCTACCTGATTTTTCCTTTGCAGTACTGGAAATCGAACCCGGGGCCTTCTCACAGAGCTACGTCCCCAGCCTGTTTTATGTGGAGAGAAGAGTCTCCCTAAGGTGCTACGTTGCTCAGGCTGGGCTCAAACTTGCAATCCTCCTGCTTCAGCCTCCTAGAGTACTGGGTTACAGCATGCCTAGCTGTGGCCTGATCTTAATGTCCAATGACTCGATGGTCTGTCAGTCCCGGCAGTGAGACACCTCTTATGCTACGATGTACCCTATAGTATTATTATGACTTGAATGCGTGGGTCAACACAGATATGTCTGTCTCCCTCTCTAACTTGGGCTGAATAAAGACCTGACTTTCCTCCTGTCTGGTGCAACACCCCAGCTGCCCCATATGGGCCTATCCGTCTACTCATCAACCAGACCGGGCTGGTGCCCCGGGATCCAAAAGAGTACACCTACACCTGTCCCACTGCTAAACTGCCGGCTCCACGGCTGCCCAGTGTCCCTCTGTGGCTGCCGTGATTGTACAAAGCTCGACACGCCACTGCCCAAATGTGCGGGTGTGGAGCAGCCCATCTCACTGTCTGGCCCGTGCGATCCTACAATTAGCTGGTTTACAAACGGCAATTCTGCAGTCGATTCCCCGCCCAGTGACCTAGCTGCAGAACAACCCAACTGCCTGACTATACCACAGCCAGACGGACAACTTTTTCTTTCTTTTTTTTTTTTTTTGAGACAGGGTCTCGTTATGCAAGTCAAGCTGCCCTGGAACTCACTAGGTAGCCCAGGTTGGCCTCAAACTCCTGGTGATCCTCCTGCTTCAGCCTCCTGAGTGCTGGGATTACAGACATGAGCCACCATGCCTGGCTGTGTATTACGATTATTTCAAGGTCTGTACCTTTCCACCAAACATCAATCTGTTTTCTAACTGCACAGTTGATCACAGTGGCAAATATTCAGATATCAGGGTTTTCCCAGTCCACCAGTCCCCAAATGTCTGATGCTCAAAAACTGTCCCGGTTGCACAACACCTGAGCCCTCCTTTTTTTTTTTTTTAAGACAGTGTCTTGCTATGTGGCCCAGGCTGGCGCTGAGCTCACTTTGAAGCCCAGGCTGGTCTCAAACTCGCAGTGATCCTCCTGCCTCAGCCTCCCGAGTGCTGGGATTACAGGTGTGTGCCACCATGCCCGGCCTGACTGCACAACTGTTTGGAGTTTCTCTGCAGCTCGGCTGTGTGATGCGACCCTAATCCTACAGAAGCAATGGCTCTACGCCCAGATGCAAGTCTGGCTTTCACTCACTGCTGAGCCGACTGACCACGGCAGCGATGGATGCTTCTGCTTCTTCACGGCCGCGCTGCCCCACCGTACACATCCCTGCTGCCCCACTGCGTGCACACGGACGCTGACCCCAAACCGCACGGCTGTGACTTTTTCCCCAAGATTTCGCCTTTCCCTGCCTGCCTCGTGACTGTCCTCAGGGAGACACCACTGCCCGCCCCGCCTCAGGGGAAGGAGGGTGTCCAGCGGCCCCTGCCTGGGCACACAGGTACCTCGCACCCCGCAGGCCGTGTCCAGGTGGGGGTGGCGGAGAGAGGAGCGCTTGTACACCACATGAGGGCCGCTTTCCTCCGGGCCCCGGGGGCTCTTGGGCCCGCCGCGCAGGGGCTCGATCAGGTACTCCTCCTCGTCGGCCACGATCAGGCCGTGCTGGGGACGGAGAGCTCGCGTCAGGTCGCGCTTCTCGGAACCCTCTGACCCCATTTCCATCTTTCCTTTCTTCTGTCACACTGCGTTCATTTTGCTATTCCTTTTCTAGCTTCCCTTCCTCCTCTCTGCCCTTCCCTTTTCTTTTGCAGTAGGGATGAGCCCAAGGCCCTGGAACTGAGCTACATTCCCGGCCCTTGCGCAGTTTTTACTGACACAGGATCTTGGTAAATCACTGGGTAGCCCAGGCCGGGCTGGAACCTGCGATCCTCCCGCCTCAGCCTCCCAGAGTGCTGGGATGGCAGGTGTGCGCCCCTACCCCTACCTCCCTGCCTAGCTTCCTTCTTCCCTTCGTGTCTATCTGTGATACGCAGAGTACACTCATCAGGGGACTCAGTGAGGATATGTACTGCACTCGCGTCCTTCTAACTTTGTCCCTCTCCCCTGCCCCCAGCTCTAACTCTCCTTCCTATTTGCAAAAGGTCTACCTCCCTCGCTCCTGTGATCTTCTGGGTGTCTGGTGGAAGAGAAGTCATGTGATACTCAGGCCTGCACATCTGTTTACTCAGCATTCTGGTCTCAAGGAGCCTCTGCGTTTATCCTTCCTTATTCTTTGTCTGTCTTTCTTTTTCCTTCTTTCTCCCTTCCTTCCTTCCTTCTTTCTTGGTGGTGGTATGGGGGATTGAACTCAGGTCCTTGTGCATGCTAGGCAAACACTCTACCACTGAGCTACATGCCCGGCACCGTTTGCTTACTTGTTGGGACGGATGTTCAGCTTATTTATTTTCAATCTTTTCCTCTACCACCTTTTCCTCCAAGTACTGCTTTAGCTGCATCCCCAAAGCACCGATCAGCTCACGATGCTTTAACAAGATCCATTCTAATTCCTTCCCTGACCTGTCTGTAGACACGTTCCTCCCACGCTCCCCAGAGTGCCGGCTTTTCCACCCCACCTCCCAGAACCCTCGGCTCACCAGGCCGCCGCAGGTGCTGATGGCTACGTGTGAACTGCCCGCCTGGCCCTGCAGGTGCCCGGCATAGAGGCAGTGGGCCCGGGCAGCCCTCTGCCAGGCCAGGCCCTCGCGCGTCCAGTACTCCACGGAGACGTGGCCCGCCAGGAGACGGGGGCTGCGGGTCAGATTCAGCAGGAAGTGGGTGCTGGGAGCAGCCACTTTGTAGAAGAGGTGGGACTCGGCCGCGACTCCCGTGCCCCGGCGCTGCCTGCGGGGGGCTGGCGGCGAGAAGGCCAGCAGGGCCCCATTGTGGTCCACGCGGGTGGGGAAGGCGATCTCATAGCTTTCCAGGCTGGACAGGAACTCATCTGTGGGGAAGAGCGGAGGCCGGGGGGCCCTGGCTTTGCCTGACACCTGGGTCCTGGCAGGAGGTGCCGCCGCCCTCCGCCTTCCATCCCCACAGGCCCTGCCACCCGTGACTCCCCATGCTGGCCCGCGGGCAACTCTTCCCCGGCACTCAACGGGCCCCTTAACTTCTCACTCCCTCCGGCCGCCATCCACCCACGGCCGGACGGGCTCCTACCTTGAGATCGGAAGGCATGCGCGACCTTGAAGGTGAGGCCCAGCCCCAGGGCGAGGGCCCATCGGAGGATCTGGCAGGCGGGAGCCATAGGGGCTACGTGCCCACATGTCTCTCCCCAGCCCCGGCTGCCGGCAGCCCCTGCAGTGCTGCCTCCCCTGTTCACAGCCTGGCCAGCATCACGGGGCTCCTGGGAGGGAGAGACCCGGCTCAGGGAGAAGCCCCGGCCCAGCGGCCCGGCGGCCCAGCGCAGCCCACGCAGAGCCCCTCTCTGGACCGGGGGACACGCGGCCCCTTCCGCCCAGCCCCAGGGTGGCCCAGACTTCTTCCGCCCGCAGAGCCACAGGCTCCTTGTCCCCGGCGTCCTATACCCACAGACGACAGGCAGGGCCCGGCCCGTGTTTCGTTCCTTCACGCTCCTTTCAGAGGTCAGGGGTGCTGACTGCCTGGGATCGAGGCCGGACAGCGGGGGACCCAGGTTCATTCACTGGGTGATGACTTGGCGGGGCTGGGGCTGGGCTGGGGACGGGGACGGGGACAGCTGCTGCTCCTGAGGTGGATGCAGGCCTGGCCGCTCCCGGAGTCCCCGGTGGGCAGAAGGAGAGGCAAGGGAGCAGCTGATGGGGATGCTTCTCGAGGGAAACCAGGGGCCCAGGGGCCCACCGTGAGCAGAGGTTGGAAGGATGTGGAAGCCAACGGGGGAGGGGACGGGCCAGGGGCCAGGGGAGGGTGCGCAGATAAGGGGCCCAGGCTGCTGCGCAGCCACCCACCCCGCGTCCTGGGCCCTGCCTTGGGATCCTCCGCAGCGGGCGGCGGCACCCGGCACCCCACCAGCTGGGCTGCAAACCCCACGCCCGGGCCTGTCCACCCACGTCCGCGCCGGCTCCTCGTCCTGCGTCTGCTGTCCGATTCTGCCTCCCGAGGCCCCAGGCCTGCCGGGCAGGTCTCCGTTTCTCAGGCCTCTGCCCCAGGCCGGCCTGCCGCAGACACCACTCGGGGCCACCAGCCTGTGCCAGGCCCCCTCCCCCGCCTTCGCGTCGCAAGGTCCCCCTTAATCACACACTGTCTTGTTTTCTTTGCAGCCCGGCCAAGTCTGAGAGTTGATCCCCAAACAGGGCAGTTGGGCCGACAGGGAGAGAAGCCAGGATTTCTCCAAGATGCTGATGGAGAGTCCACCTCCCCCACTTCCGCTTGGATCCCTCCAGCGACAGGGAGCTCAGTCACAGACACCTGGAGACCCCACAGTCCTGTTCGGCTCGGCTAACGTTTATGAACTGGTAGTTTTGTTTGGAAATACCTTTCGGGGGCTTCTGTTCGCGGTGCGGTGTTGAACACACGCGTGTGAGGGTCCTTCCCTCTGCTGCTCGCGGCGCGGGGCCCCCTGGGCGGCAGTGCCCTCCTCTGCACGGTTCCGGGGTGGGGAGGGGGACAAGGCAGAGGAAACGGGCTGGCCTTTAGCTCTGAGCCGTCTGGAGGTTAGGGCAGCACCGGCAGGCGCGGGCGTGCAGGGGGCGCGCAGGTGTCCGCCAGGGGCGCGGCAGGGGCAGGGGGGAGTATGACAGAGCCCAGGGCACGGGCGGGGGCGTAAGGGTCAGCCAGTCCGGGGGAGAAGATGAGGGCCGGGGCTGAGGCAGGGCATCCCTATCTGGGAGCCTGGTGGGTGACAGATCCGGAAGGGACCCACCCCGTGGTGGGCAGGACTGTGTGTGCGCAGTGTGGCGTGTAAGTGACCATGGCTGGGCGCGCGTGGACCAGGCCCGGCCATCTCCCCACGGCCGCCTCCAGGAGGCAGGAGGGAGGCCGCCAGCCCGGGAGAGGGGAGCTGGAGGAGGAAAGTCTCTCCCAAACGGCCGGCAGCAAACTCCGGCTCGGGCCCATCCCGGGGATCCTGGAGGGACCGTCCAGGCCGGGCCGGGCCGGGCCACCCGGCAGCCCATCCCCCCCGCGGAGGCCGCGGTCCTGGGCGGCCAGGCAGAGGCCCGAGCGCCTGCGGCCTCCTCTGGGCACATCTGGCCGGGCAGTGGGGAGGGAGGCAGCCCCAGCCCAGCGCAGACAAAGGCCTGGCGGGCGCGGGTCCCACAGCCAGCCGCTAATTACAGGCCCCAGCCACTGCTGAGACACTGCGGGCGCTGTGGTCTCCGACCAGCGCAGGGGAAGCGGGCGGTGCCGCTCCCACAGCCAGACACACAAACACACCCTGGAAGGGACACACACACCCCCGGGGCTCCACACCTGCAGGGCACTGCAGACCCACAAAGGAGCCCTTCAGCTGCAGACACACGCGCTGACACACACACACACACACACACACACACACACACCTTTCAGACCTCTGTGCACCGACTCTTACCCATGACACACACATACATCAGAGGCCTGCACACACACACACACACACACACACACACACACACACGCACCATTGTACACATTCAGAGCCCAGGGACAGACAGACACACAGGCCTGCACACTGACACTTACACTCGCTTACACGCTCACACCAGGCAAGACAAATCCACAAGCCCCACAAATCTAGACCCCTCCAGTCACACTCTCCTATCTCCACACTTGTCACACTCAAGAGCAGCACGCAGGCTTGGAGACAGACACACAGCCCCAGGCACACGCTCCCACTAACACACTTGTCACACTCGAAACACGCAGATGCTTGCAGACGTACACGAACGCGGGCACGCCCTCACACACCCACCGCATTCCAGAGAAACACAGATGCTCGGGCACGGACACAACCCCGGGCACACTCGGCCCCCTCGGGGCCGCACGGCAGGCACGCGAAGCACACGCAGCTGCACCCTGACGGTCGCGCGGCGCCCCAGTCCTCGCAGCCGCAGCCCGGGCGCGGG